ACAAGTTCGCTTACACCTTTATTTAAACATTTTAAACTTCATACTCCTTTTTTTAATTATTTATAATGCATGGCTTATTATAATAAATCTAACAATTTTACAGTTAACCTTTATTCTGCTATTGGATAAGGCTTAATTTTTTAATTTTCAATATTATTTGTATTTGCTTTATCTTCCATTTTTTTTTTAAAAAAAAAAATTAATAAATAAACTAAAATTATAAATATAAAATTATTTATTTATTCAATTAATTACATCTAGAATTTTATATTATTAATTTCTTCTAAATAAATTATTTAATTAATACTAAATATATTTATAAAAAAAAACATATTTATTTTTTAAAAGTTTTATGATTATTATTTTAATATATATAAATACATCTATTTTAATTTTCTAAAATGTAGGATAATAATTCCTAATATATAAAAAGGCATAGAAAAAAAAGCTAAATATTCTTTGGTTTTATTTTTTCTTATGCAACCCTAATCAACGCAATTATGAAAAATATAAAAAGTTCATTAATAATATTTTTTATGTTCTTTAGGTTCTTATTAATTAAATCCAGCTTAAAAAAAATAATAAGTTCTACGATCATAGCATTTTATATAAGTTATTTATATAAATCTAGCATTTTATCTTAAAACAGCATCTCTATTTATACTCTGAGAGGTATAATTAATTTATATGTAAAAAACCTATTTTTCAAGTTCATGTTATTAAATGAGGATATATATTATATCAAAAACTTACGTGTATATGCACAAACTATTTACGAGTTTTATTCATTTAACTTAAAATAATATTTAAATCCGCCTTTAAAAAGCTCAAAAATAGTTATAATTAAATAACTTAGTGTTTTTATTCCAGGTAATACCAATAATGAAAATTGTTACTAAAAGATTAAGGATTTCTGTGAAAGCTAAATTAAACTGGTATTTCATCTTTTAAGTTTTTATATTATAAAATAAAGTATATTCGATGATAAAAATAACTAAATTAGTGTTAACATTTATCCCTACTAATTATATTCTCTAATGTATTGAATCATTCATTTTTTTATATATATATTTATATGTTTTTTTGAATTAATTTATTTTTTGTTATTTAAATGAAAGAAAGTAAAGTTGTAAATATTTTTTAATTTTATTTTTCCTAAATATATTCCGAAAAATTGAAACCAAATATTATAAAAAATAATTTAATATAACATTTTTATAAAAACTAAAGTTTAATTCCTTTAATATATATGTATTTTTTTTCTTTTTCTATATTTAGAATTTAAAATCATAGATTATCTATTTAATATTGCTTTCCTTACCAAATCAAAATCATATTATCATTTTCAATCTATAAAAGTTATAAATTTATAAATTAAGTTATATTTTTAAATATGAAAATTTTCAAATTAAAAAAATTAAATTTATATACATTTGCTTTTATACTGTCTGTTAATAATTGAGTTATTTCTGATGATAAAATACCATATTCTATATCATTAATAAATATTAAATGATAAAGTAGACCTATGTTAATATTATAGATATGAAAATTTATTTAATATTACCATTATTATCTTTTCTTATTTTAGCTGGATCAAACTTTTCTTTCATATATCCTGAATAAGTCTATATTTTTTCTATAGGTTTAATATTTGAACATCTTTAATTATATAAAAGTTTATTTTATTTTACTAATTCTTAACTCTCTTCATTTAAACCAGTAAATACAATAGGTTAATAAGAACTTTTTACATAATTATATTCGCCCCAACATTCACTTACATCTAATAAAATTATATAATATTAAATTTAACTATAAAATAATTTGTACGTAAATAATCTCTTTCATGAAATCCGGTTTTATTTTTTTTAAGGTTTTTAAAAAAAGATTTCTTTTAATAATTAATTAATAGATTATAAATAAATTAAAAATATAAAATTTACAATAAATCTACTATCTTTAATGCATGATGTAAAATTTTTAATTTCAGTCTCTTCTAAGTATAGGAGTCCCTTAATTTATAAAGCAATATATTTATTTATTATTATGTTTATTTATTTTTAACTTTATGGTCAATAAAAAAAAAATATTCTCTTCGTTCTTGTGAAAACTAAAATTTTTATTTATTAAAAAAAGAATGAATGTGTCTTGATAATTTAATCATATTTAAATTTAATATAGATTTTTTATATATTTATTTTAATATAATTATTTATCTTATTTTAATATTATAATAATATATATTCTATATTAATATTAAATGAGAAGTTTCTTAAATAAAATTTTATGTCTAAATTAAATTTTTTCTTTTTATTTTTTAATTTTTTCTAATTACTTATCTATATTTCAAATAAAAATTAAAACGTGTTTTATATAATTTTATAATAAACATAAGTTAATTTTTTTAAAAAAATATTTTTAATTTTTAAAATTAAAATTTTGTTTTGTTTTGTTAAAAAAATAGGAAAAAAATAGGATTTAAAATATTTCTTTTCTTGTATTAAAAATAATATTAAATTTATATTCTCCTGTGAATATTAATTAATGTGAATTTTTTCTTTATTAGTTAAGGTCGAAGTTTGTATAATTTATAAAATTTGAATTTGAAGGCCCTTCGAAATATTTTTCAAGTTAACAAACAATAAATGGCCATAAATTAAATCATATTACTTAAAAATATAAATTAAATAATCATACTTAAAAAAATATTAAATAAACTTATATATTTTTATTGGAAATAATATTTAAATTTGTTTTTTTTCATTCTTTTAAAAAAAATTAATTGTAACTATTTAAAAAAATTACAAATATAAAATAAAGTTTTCTTTAACTTTATATATATTTTTATAGCTTATTATATTAATATCTTTAGGCACTAATAAATAATTTATAATTTTTTTTATCAGTATATAGAATTAAGATAGAATTTTATATTTTTTAGAATATTCTAAAATTGTAGTTAAATTTAAACAAAATATTTGTCTGATTTTTTTTAAAAATTATTCAACGAATTTAAGTTTGGGTTAAAGAGAAAATATTGGATATATCAAATTATTAATTTTTTTAAAATTAATAATTTAAAATATGAAAAATTATTTTAAAATATTACTTTTTTAGTAATCTATAATTATTAAAATTTATTTTTTGAAAGTAAGACCAAATTTCATTAACTTTATGTAAAATTAATTTGTAACAAAAAAAAATACACATCGAATAAATCAAAGATTATTATATATATATTATATACATATATTATTTTTTATATAAATATTATAAAATAAATTTTAAGTAAAATTAGTTTATCATAAAATTATATAAATCAATAATAATAATTTTGCATTTTATTTATGAATTACTTCAATAAAAATGTTTATCATTTTGGTATGCCCTAAGGATGATATATTATTTTTAAAATGAGTGGTGATTATAATTAGTTTTTTTTTGATTAAGATATTTTTTTTAAATAATATATAATATTGTGGCAATTTAAGTAATTAAGTAGAAATTGATAATTTAAATCATTAGTCTATAGGTCCATATGTATTTTAAAATAATTTAATGATTATTTTTATAAAGGTTAAAATCTAAAAATTATTTAATCCTATACATAATTTTCAATAAAAATCTAATATCCTAATATTCTAATAGATTTAGAATATTTCTTTTATAAATTTAAGAGCATATTCAATTCCAATTTCTATTTCTTATTTTATTCCATTAAAATTAAAATATGCCAAAAATATATATGATTTATTTACATAATTAAACTTAAAAATAAATATATAATCAGAGGAAATTTCACTGTTAATTCATATAATTTTATTAACTCATATAATTATATATATTTGAGCATAAATATTGAAAATAAATTTAAATTCTATAAAATATATTTTAAGGAATTGTATTAGAGTAACAACTAAATCTTTCGTCATCCGTTTGTGTATCGTAAAATATCCAGTTCATTTTTTGATAATTACACATTAAAAAATAAATTCGAAATAATCAAAAAAAACTTTGAAAATTAAAAGCTGATGGTGTATTTCATAGTATGATAATGAGAAATTATTAACTTTTTATACCATATTATTAAAATAGAGGTATATCATAATAAGAATTTCAAATTTATAAACTGAAATAATTTGAATTTATATATTTCTAGTTCATAATGTTTTTATTTATTCTGTGATTTTTTCAAAAAATACAATTAGCAATAAAAAAATGTTGTTGTACTTTTTTTTTTTTAGAATTTTTTGGTATCTTTTTTAAAAAAATAATTTGAGCAAATAATACTTGTTAATATTAACAATTTTCAGAAATATTAATTAATAAAATGAAAAGCATAAATGGAAAAACAAAAAAATTGAAAAAATACAACGTTTAAGTGTATGCTTAGTAAAAAAAAGTTAAATAAATAAATTTTTATATTATTAAGTTTGATAAATATTATAATCCTTTAAATAATGAACCCATTTATATATAATTTATATATTTGCTTAATATATAGAATTTAAATATAATTTATCTAGAAAATTGATAAATCATATAAAATTAAAAATTATTTTCAAAAGGAAAAATATTTTTTTAAATATTTATATTATTTGGAATTTTAATATATTTTTAAAGCCAAAAAAAAACACTTTGGAATATTATTTTTTTATTTTACAAAACAATTTATTATTTTATTACTTTAAAAGAAAATATGTAAATATATAAATAAAAAAATTTAAGTCCATAAAAATAATTAAGACATAAAATTTCCCATAATATTTAAATTATTTTATAGGAATAAATAAATAAAATTCCTTATATTGATATAAAACAATGACAAAAAATTATACTGTATTTTCTTTTTGAATGAATTTGTATTGTATTGTATGATATAAAATATAAAATTATGTAGTTAAAAAAATATTTTTCAATCTTATAATTTTTTTTAAATATTAATTATTTTATAAAGACTTTTTTTATTTTTGATATGTATTTTTTTTTAGACATATAAAAAGAGAAATTGTTTTTCTTTTACATATTGAACTTATTTTAAGAAAAAAAATTAATATATTTTTTAAATATTTTTGAAAAAAGTAAAAATTATATAGTTATATAATTAATATTAGTATTTTTATATAATAATAAAATAAAAAAGAAACAAAAAATTAAAATAAATAAATTTTGTCTTTATTATAAATTATAGACTTTAATATTTTAAATTATTTAGAATCCAATTAATTAATGTAAACATCCAATATATTAAATTCTGAAAATAAATAATAAAAGATTTAATAAAAATATATGTTTATTTTTTTTAAAAAAACATAAAATTATAGAATAAAATTTTTATCAAATTTTTATTCATTTATTTTCTTTTAAAATTTTGGTTAATATTTCCTAATTTTTAGATGTTAAAATGCCTCCCATATTAAGTGATGATTAAATTGCAGGTTATTAATAAAAAACATTAAAAGATTTAGCAAAATATTAATTAATATTACCAATATCAGGTAAAGTATTTTTTTTTCTTTCAATGCACTTATTTTTTAGAAGCCAGAGCCTCCCATACTATGCAAATTCTCCCTTATTTCAGCATATTTTCCTATTATATATCTACGTGTTCCTAAATTTTCAACTAAAGCATTTAAAATATCAGCAAATTATTATTAGCCTATATTTTGGGTATTTTAGAAAAGAGCTTCACACATAGCAGAAAATATAATCTTTTTCTCCTAATAATCTGATATATTTTTTAATAAAGGAAGTTCTTCATGAATAACTGATAAAACATCAAAGTCTTACATTAATTATGAAGTTGAATATTTGTTTATTAAAGTACATAAAAAGACAACAAAGCTTTTAACGAATTAATGTTTTTGTACACCATTTTGTTCAATTTTCAATTATTAATAGTATTAAAATGATGTATTTAAGATAAAAGATAACCATCCAGACTATCTAAGTACATTCAGATCAAAAAGATTAATTATAAACCTGCAAAATTCGAAAAAGCAGGAATCTTATTTTAATTATAAACACTTTTTTTTAGTTTTAAAATAATTTAATTAATAAATATATACATTAATATATAAATATTACTTTTGTTAATATTTATTGTAGTTATTATTAGTTTTCACCCATAATTGATGGTTTTTTATAAATATAAGCAGATATATAAACTATATAAGCAGGAAAAACTGAAATATTTTCCTATATCCAATTATTTTATTCAATTAAAGATAAAAATATTATTTTATAAGTATTTGTTTCTGTATAATTTTCATTATTCCTAATAATAATAGAATAAATTTAAAGAACAAAACTTACTAAGTCAGTAATGTTTTTATTAATTATTTTATTCATATAAGGAGATAAAGCATTTTCTAGATTAGTAAGTCCATTAGCTTAATTAGCATATTGTACAATATTTCCAATAGACTCAAATAAAGTAAAAGACTTTTAAAAATCATAGCCTTAGTTTCCTAATAACTTTTCAAATTAATCCTTAAAAACAGTACATAATAAATCTACTTATTACATACAATCTTCTTTCATAAGTAATATTACAAAATGAAGGGTTTTTAGTAAATTAGCCTCTATAGAGGGATATCTACGCGCATTCAAGCATATATTAGCTAAAATGGTTTATATTTAAGGTTATATATTGTCTTTGTGGAAATATGGTTTTACATTTGTAAAATTCTTCAAATCACCTTCTTTTAAACTAAGTAATCCTTCAACAGTAATAGCTGAAATTCCAAAAAGAGATTCAGAATTAGTCTAAAGAAAATAGCTAAATATCTTTGCAAGTTCAAGAATTTCATTTTTAGGGATATAATTTCTGAAATAAAAAGCAAATTTTAAATAATAAGCTGCGTGTATAGGAATAAATTAGTTTTCTACAAGCCTTGTTGATGATGAAGTCAAATCAATAAACATTATGGCAAGTGTTTTTTTAATTATATTTTCCCATACAAAAGATATAAGTTCTACGGGTAAAGCTATTTCTGAAACTCCATCTTTATCCCTATAACACACTGTAGATCCATCAATAATTAAATTAAGTAATATTATTTCTGTCTAAGGTTAAAAAGGTTATCCTTAATCAAGTTAAGTTTTGTACATTTATAGAAATGTTTATATCTATGATAACAATTATTAAGGGAATTATTTTGCTAAATTCCTTAAAAGTTCTACGGTGACTGATTTTCTTGAATTAAATTCCGAAAACTAAAAGAAAGATTCTACAAAACTGGCAGATTCATCTTCAAAAGAATACTTTTCATTATTTGTAAGTGATAAATTCGGAATGATTAAAGTTGTTATTAATTATTACATATTTTAAACAAAGAATGAATTAAGGTCTTACCACATTACTAAATTTTTAAAATAACGTAAAGCATTCAAAACTATTTTATCGAATTTAGGATCTTAATCAGTTAAAGTACACATATGCCATATTTACTCTGCAAAATGAGTTATTAAATCTTAAAATTCTTCTCTATAACGAGTTGCATATAAAAGTACAGATTTCAAACACTCGCCTTTTGCTTTAAAAATTTAATAATCATCTCCTCCCATGTTTTATGGACTAACTTAAAGCTTAACAATTTGAGAAAATAAACTCATCCAATTATTTAGATTATCTTCAAATTTAGGATGAAGATCTTAATAATTTAAAGAATAGAAAATCTTCATCAAGATTTTTAGGATTTTTACACAATTAAGTGTTTCGTAGTTATTATTTATAGCTTAAAGATTTATTGATGTCAATTAGTACAATATATCATGAGAATCGTCACATACAAGTATAATTTCAGTATATAATTCATCAGAACGCATTGAGTAAGAATATCTGTTTGTTATTTTATGCAAAACTTTAAGAACTCTTAATGTTTAATTATTATTCTGTAAATTTAAATCTATAAAGTTCATCAATTCTTTTATAAAGTTTTCCCATCTGTGAGGAAACTCTTTACATGCTAAATGCAAAATCGCTTATTCTATTTATTTAGCTATTCCTACTGAGCATTAAATATATGAACCTATTATGACACTTTTTATATAATTTATAATTTCACTATATTATTAGACTATATAATCATCACTTTCTTTATACTCTTTAAACCAATGCTAAAATTGAGTCACTGATAAAAGGCGCAAATTTTCAGGATTGCTTGTGTTGCTATAAAATTAAAAAAGCAATATAGGATATGTATTTAGTTTGTCATGTAATTCTTTTAATAACTATTCACCTTATTTATTTGTGTCACCATTACAAGCTAGTTGTAAAGCTGTTTATAGTTATTATAGATGTTAAGGATTTATTGATTGGAGCATTTTAGTTTTATTTTCAAATTTTTTTATTAATTTTTTTTTAATAAATATATTTAATGTGATTCTTTTTTTTAATATATTTTTTTATTTCTTTGATTTTTTTGCTAATTTTTTTTTTTTTTTCTTTTATTTTAATTTATATTTTTTTTCTTTTCTTTTTGTGCTAATTTTATATCTTTATAAATTTTCTATTTTTTTTTATTTATTTTTTTATATTTAATAAAATTTATAATTTTAAGTTTATAATTATTTCATATCTAAAAACAAAAATATTATATTGAATTAATTAAAAATAATCAAAATAAAGCTATTTTAATTAATTTAGAAAATAAAATTAAAAAATTATTGTTTATAAATAAAATACTAATAAAAAAAATAAAATAATATCTATGTTTATTTTATATAAATATTTTTATAATATTAATAGTTAAAATATTTTATTCAATATTAAATATAAAAAATTAACATAACATAAGAAAATAAATTTATAATTTTGTAAATTTTTTTAATTAAATTATCATATTAATTTTTTTTTTTATTATAATTTAATGTATATTAACTATTTATTAAAATAAATACTTTTTAAAAAAAATGCAAATCAAGCAAATAGATACAGACTTATTTTAATAATATAAATTATTATATTTAAAAAAAGAGAATCATTTCAATTAATAGTTAAATTATCAAAATCTAACTCTATATTTTAATATATTTGCTAGACTCTATTTTATATAAAGAAATTCTTAGTTAACTCAAAGAAATCTAATTTAATAAGAGGATCATTTTAAATTGTACTATTTATTACTATAATATTATTTAAAGCTTCTTTTTCAGATTTAAAGAGGTTTTCTTCTTATAGCAATTATTTTATATTCATAAGTATTAAATGATTATTTTAAATAAGTGATTTATCGTAATAGTTCTAAATAATACTTAAAGCGTTTTTAAGCTGATTTACATATTATTGAATTAAGCCTTAATTTTAAGTATTATTTTCCTATACTAAAATGTGCAAAACATTAAGAAGGAAACATACAAAAGCCTTATAATAGTATAAATCAGGTTTATTATTTTCTAATATTAGACTTGATTATTTAACTAAAGTATGTAAAAAATTTTGTAATTTAGGATAAAGATTATGTATTTTACCTAAAACTTAAATACCTAAAGAGTAATTAAAGTAGAATAATCTACTACAAACTCTCAATATATTAAGATTTATCATATCATTTAAAATATTTTTTTCTGAGCATTTTTAGACTAAAGTTACTATAATTTCTCCTATATATTCGCATTTATTATGTCTTAATTATACATACTCGATAGCATCAAAAATATTTGAGAAAATATTATCTTTTACTTCATCACAATTCGCTTCTATTCCTTTTTATAGAGCTTAGCAAATCTATTAGGGATTGAAAAAAGGTGCGTTTGACATTTCTATGAAAATAAGAATGCAAATATTGAAAAAATTAAGTTTATTAATAAAAATAAGAGTAGTTTTTTCGCATAATTGTGAATACATTTATTCTAAGGCTTGAATTTCTACTTATTAGAATTTTTAATAATTTTCGTTTATCCATTTGATTGTATAATAAAATAATTTTAAGCTACTTTCTGTCAAATAAATTTCACTTAATTCATCAATTATGAGCCCATTATTTAAAACTTAATGAATGAAATTCATATAACTTAAATCTTCAAGACCTTATTTGCATATTAGTTATGATAAAATATCAGTTATTTAAGCCTTTAAAGCTAGAGTATTTGAATTTTAAACATCATGAAGATATTCAGCATATTCTTTAGAAATTATATTATAAATTGGTTTAATTACTTAATTTGAAATCTTGCTTTCCTTAATAAAATCAATTATATTTTCTATAAATTCTAGTAAAAGAGTCTTACATTCGGCCTCTTGGCATTTTTCGAATAATTAATAAGTTCCATTCATTAGACTTTCTAAGTTATATATAAGATCTAGCTCATTATCCATTAAAGGGATAAAGCATTTAATACATAAAAGCCTTATATAAAGTGATATTTAACTGTTATTTGTACACATAATTGCAGAAAGTGTATAGAAAATTCGTATTACTATTTCTTAAGAAACTTGATAAGAATTTGATAAATAAGAATGTATTAAATTTAATATCTATATTTTTAAAGGTGTATATTGATTTCCTTCTAAATTTATTTCAGCACTTAAAACACTATTATACCAATCTTCAAATTCAATACTATTTTTTATATATTTATACATACCACTCATTGTAAAGTAAAAGGCTTCTCTTTAAAGTATTTCAGCGAATGAGTTAGTAGTTCCAATAATTGTTGAAGTGTGTTAATTAAGCAAAGAGTCAAGTAGGCTTAATATTTTTTCTTCGTCTACGTACATATATAATACACTCAATAAATTAATTCCAGAACCTCTTAAATGTAAGTTTTCTCCTTAATCTTCTAAATAGGCTTTTTCAGGTTCTTCATGTATTGTAGCAAGATGTGTCCACGTTAAAGTAAATACTTTTTTTATAAGAAAAGAAACTATTAATTCTACAATATTATTATTTTAAATATATTCAATAATGTTTTGATCTTTAGGATTTTCTTAATTTAAAATATTATATTAGAAAGAATTCTAAGTAATTATTTCAGAAATTAAATCTAAAACCTACATGATAATATTAGCTTCTCTTTCAAAAAATTAAACTAGTTTAGGTTAAGTACATAAAGTATGCAATATTTTTAAATCAGCCAATTATTAAACTTAAATTAAGGCTTCATTATTAAGGCACAAATGAACACTATTTGAAAAATAATTTTCGCATAAATAGTTTATTATTTATATTTATTAGTTCGTTTATTTCCCTTTTATTATATTTAATATATATTTATGGTATGTATAAATTATCTTCCTAAATTAATCTATTTTTTCAAATATTTCTTCTTGATCTTCTACACTTTTTCCCATATCAACTTAAGTACATAATTAGAAAACGCAATTTTGTAATAATTTCAAATTTTTTATATCATCGGTAAAATCAGCATGCTAAAAGGCATGAGCTCCCACACTTAAGTATTTTATAGCATATTTTAAGCTTTTAAGTTCAGTATTATTTGTTATATTAATAAATTATTCTCTTACAATCTAAGTAAATAAATCTTTCTTTACTAAAAAAAATTAGTTAACTTATTCTTAGTGTTTTTTATTATCATTTTAATCATTATAAAGTGCTTTAAATACACTATAGAATAAATATAATAATGTAGTTAGCTATTCACGATTAGTAAATATTTATTAGGAATCAAAAGTATTGATTAATAATTCGAAAACTTTACTATTAGGAAAATCTGTGGTAATTACACGTGCTATAGATAGCATTAATTATACGCGTACTTTAGGAAACTATGATTATAAATAAGATTATAACAAGGCTTCTTGTATGTTTGCTTTAAAATCTTCATCACTTTTCAAATATTCTGTTTTTAGATATTTTGTTATATATATTGAAGCTTAGAGAGAAATAGTTGGATTTTACTAACATTATACAATTTTAAATAGAACACGGAAACAAAGAAGAAGATTTTATTATAGTTAATAGTTTAAATAGCTCTCTCCTTATTCTCTTTCCGATTTTATTGGGTTTGACATTGCTTTTTCTAAAGCTATTTATGTTTATAAAATATAGGCTTCTTCTTAATTTGTATTCATTTTCTTTTTTAGTATACAATTTTATATTGTTTGTATTTTATATATATATTTTTTTATTATTGTATAATCATTAGATTTATTTTAATAAAAAAAGTATAATTTTAAATACGAATAATTTTTTTTTATACTATTTTTATATTTTCTTTATTAAAATTATTTATTATAAGTATATATATATATATATATTATATACATTACTTTTTGGCACGTTTACTTATATTTTTTATGTAATTTATTTATTTAAAATACTCAATCTAAAAACAAAAATAAAGACCATTTTCCATTTTTCCCGGCATTTTTTTTTGATTGTGTTTATTTTAAAAAAATGTTGAATAATATATATATTATATTATTTAGGGTTTAATTAATATTCATTTAAGAAAATAAATATTATTCAAACTTAAAATTGCAACAATATAATAGTCATAATAATTATTTAAATATAAAGGCTTTATAAAGTAATTTAAAGGACTTGACCTGATTAAGTAAAAATAAAAAAAGGGAGTATAAATATTAGGCTTTATATTTATCTTAATAAAAATTAAATTACATATTCAATATAATTATTAAAAAAAAAAAAAAAACTTAAGCACATCATTGCTATTTAATATAAATGGACTAAAAATTATTATTTCGATAATATATTAATCAAGAAATTGAATTTTATTTTAATTATAACTGATAATAGTATAGATAAATATTTTTTGAAAACTTTTTTATACGAATTCCTTCTTAAAGAAATTAAGGAAAACTATATTATTCCAATTTAAAAGTTATTGTAATAATAAATAAGATATTTTCCCTTTTTTTAGGTTTAACTTAAATAAAAAATAAAAAATTTAATTAATAATAAATAAATAAAAATATTTTACTTACTAAAAAAATTATAAATTAAATGTGGTCTTTTTTATAATAATTTTAAGTTGGTTTCAATGTGATTTATATAAAGAATATCCATTAATTCGGATGAATATCATTTATAATCAAAATATAAAAATAAGAAATCCAATATTAATTGTTAAAGCATTTCGGACTAAATATAAAAAAATATAATCAATATATTTTTAATAATTGCTGCTGATGAAAAAATCAAAAATCAATTGATTCGAAAATAATTATGAGTTAAAAATATTTAATATAAATAAAATAATTATATATTTTTTGATAAAATTTGTTTTATAAAAAACACATAAAATATTTATTAAAAATAATTCGATATTTAATTGTGAAATGAAATTTATGGAAAAAATATAATATGAAATTAATTAAATAATACCTTATATTTGTTATTCTAATTATTTTTTAACTTTTTAAAAGCAAAAAAATTAATTTAATTATAGTTTTATAATCATAAATATATTTTTAATTACCATATTCTCATTTTTTATATATTTAATATTAATAAAAATAAAATGCAAAAAATAGAAATTTTTATTTCTTGTCGTTCATTAATATGCAAAGATTAATTTTCTAAATGTAATCCATATGTAGTTATGTATACAAAAGGAATAAAAAAAGGATAAAATGAATAAAATGAAAAATGGCAAGAATATTTTAGAACTGAAGTTTTAAAAGATAAAACTCATCCAAATTTTGTAAAATCATGTATAGTTGAATATGTTTTTGAGTAATAACAACATGTTAAATTTTAATTATTTGATTTTTAGAATTCCTAGAAATAAGAATTTGTTGGTGAATGTTAAACAACAATAAGCAAAATCACAGGATCAACATATTGTACATTAATATAAGATTTAAAAAATTTACAAGGGAAATATTGCGGTAAAATTATTTTAAGAGCAGATAAAGTTGCAGTATGTAATGATTAATTAAAATTTTCTCTATAAGGTCATTAAATAAAAGATACTAGATTTTGGAAATTTTGGACAAAAACATGTCCGTTTTTTATACTTTTTAGACAAACTGAAAATTAGTTTCCAATAAAAGTTTACTAAACAGAATATGTAGAAAATTAATTAAATCCTACATTTTAAGAAATAAATCTTAAAATCTAAAAACTATGTAATGGAGATTATGATATGCCTATTTTGGTTGAATGCTGGGATTTTTAAGAAGATGGAAAAAACGAATATATTGGATGTACATAATTTTCTGTAAATGAACTTATTTAACAATAAGAATAAAAAGCATCGAAATTCAGTTTAAAAAACAAAGAAAATATCAATGTCGGTTACATAACATGTAATAAATTTTAATTATAAAAGAAACATTAGTTTCTTGATTATATAAAAGGAGGGACTTAGCTAAATTTAATATGTGCAATTGATTTTACAGCTTCAAACGGAGAGCCTTAAAGTGAAAATAGTTTGCATGCGATATATAATGATGGAAAATTGAATTAATATTAATAAGCTATATATTCAGTTGGAGATATTCTTTTAAATTATGATAGTGATAAAAAGGTTCCTTTATACGGTTTTGGAGCTAAACCTTAAATGAACTATAACCCTAATAACTAAACTCTCCATTGTTTTCCTATCAATGGAAATATTTAAAATGCAGAAGTTTATGGTATAAATGGGATGATGGAATCTTATAAATAGTTTCTTAACCATGTTGAATTATCAGGACCAACTCTTTTTAATCCTTTGATTTAAGAAGCTATGAACTTAATAACAAAAAATTGCAAAGAAAATAATTATAAAAACTATTACATTTTACTACTCTTAACTGATGGATAAATCTAAGATATGAATCTTACAGTAGCATCTATTGTAAAGGCATCTAAACTACCACTTTCTATTATTATTGTAGGATTAGGTGATGAGGATTTTACAAATATGAAAATACTTGATGGAGATTAAGGACTAGTTGATATTAATGGAAATGTGGCTGAAAGAGATCTTGTTTAGTTTGTAAGATTTAATAAATATAAAACTAATCCTGCAGCTTTAGCCTCAAAAGTACTTGAAGAATTACCTGATTAAGTTGTAGATTTATTTACTTTAGTAGATGTTCATCCTAACGAAGTTTAATTAGTTTAAATGAATGAGATATAAGTTAATAATATTCCATAAGCAAATTAAAATATAGGAGGATTTTTAATAAAAGGAAATTTTATACAAAACATTATAAACGAATAAAAATCTAATATCAATTAAAATTAAAGATTATATTAAGAAAATTCAGATATAAAATAATATGGATAAAATAATATTGAAAACAATATTAAATTAGATAATAATATAAATACAATAAATAATAATAATTAATTTAATTATTAGAATGAAAAAGCTCCTCCACCTCCATTATATTATTGAAATAAAAATATTTTATTAAAATGATATCTAAGACTTATTTTAATTTTTTTTTTTAATTTAATTGTTAACAAATATTTTTTTTAAAAAAATTATAATTTTAATATACATAATAATTATTTAAAATATATATTTGTATAATTTTATTTAATAATTTTTTTTATTATTATAAAATAAAAATGATTATTATAAATTTTTAATATTTTTATATAAAAAATTATAATTTATAATAATTATTTTAATTATATATATAATATATTATATTATCTATAATGTATAATTTAATATTTAAGATTTAAGATTTCTTTTTTAATTATTATTTTTTATTATTTATTATATATTATTTATTATTTATTATTTATTATTTATTATTTATTATTTTTTTTTTTTTTATTTATTATTTATTATTTATTATTTATTATAATAATCTTAATTTTTTATTTTTTACTGTTTTTACTTATTTTTAATACTTCTTTTTTAATAATTATTTATAAATATAATTTTTTTTTTTTTTTTTTTTTTTATTTATAAAATATAAATTTATTTTAAAAGATATAATATTATTTATTAATATATATTTTTTATATTTTTATTTGCTAAAAATATATATAATATAAAAATATTTTAAAGTGAAATATATTATAATTAATTTGTATAAATTTATAATATTTCTTTTATTTTTAATTTTATACTTAGATAATTTTAACCATTATTAAGCATTTTTATAAATTTTGATTAATAACCATTTAACTTTTTAAATCTTTTACTATTTCTTTTACTTGATTCTAATTTTAATTAATTTATATCTAATTTTCATAACACCAATATCTTTTTTTAAAAAAGTTTTATAATGTTAATTTTTTATTATTAAAAATTTTTAGATATATTTAATAGTTTATTAGAATCTATTGGTATTTGTACTATATAATTCATATATTAAAACATGTTTTTTTAAAAAGTAATGATATATTTATTATTTTCTTATCTTAAATAGTAAACTTTATAAATTTATTTTAAACTTATTCTATATTAAAATCTATAGTATCTGAACTTTATACTGTCTCTTTTAATTTTATTTAAAATAATATTATTAGATTTTTTATAGCATCTAATCCTATTATTAAATTAAAATTCTTTTTTATTTATTATAAATTTTTAAATCTATATTATTGAAATGAATATATACATATTTTTTGTTTGTTTTATATTTTATTTTGTTTTAATATATATTTATTATTGCTTAAAAATTGTTATAACTTTTTTTAAAAATCTATATTTTTTTAATAAAGATGTTTTTTCATTGTAGTAAATCATTATATTTTTTTTAATTTAATGACTTTTATTATGTTTAAATTAAAAATATAGTAAAATTAAATAAATTATTTTTAATATTAAAGAAAAAAATTTAATGTATAAAAAACATATATAAAAAATTATTGAATTAAAAATTAAACCTAAATTAATTTAATAAATTATATATTAAAAAAGTTAAGTTTTTATCTAACTAATAACACTAATCAATATTTATATATATATATATATATATATAATATTTATTATTTACTAATAATACTAAATTTATATACTTCTTTCTATTTAATAAAAAATATTGTAATTATTTTTTGATTTTATATGTAATATAAAATTGATATATTTTATTATTATTCTGTTAAAATAAAAAACTCTAAAAAAATTATATTATAAAATATAAGATAATATAAAGTTTTATGTGATATAAATATTAAATATATAAATAACTTTTATATAAATTAAAAATATTTTTTTATATATTTATTTATTATATTTTAAATAACTATTATTTCATTCATAATGATGATATCCTTCATTATCATTATTTTATTTGTTTTATTATTATTGACCATAATTCTAATAGTTGAGACCTTAGCTTTGTTATGAATTTTATAATAATTTAGAATTATTGATAAAAGCAGTATATGTATTGCTTGTTTTATTCTAATAATTATTTTGATTTCCTTATTTTTTAAAAACTGTAAAATTATTAAATATAATATATTAAAAAACTTTTTAAAATACCTTATTTTTATAAAGCCTAATTTTATTTTTATAGATTTTGTTTGTTTGAGTTAGTTTAAGATCTTTTACAGGTTAAAGTTCTTCCCGCATAAGATAATCCGTTTAAAGATTATACGCATTAATCAGTAACATTAATATCTTTAAATTCAAAAAAAGCATAACCTTTACTTTGATTAGTTTAATTATCCTTTACTAAGTGAAATGCTTTTATTTCTCTTTTTTATATTTTTATTTAAAACAAAAAATTAAATAAAAATTAAACCCCATTTCTCTTAATTTAAGTTCATCTAAAATCATTAGCTCATCCATTTATGTGGGAAGATTTGCTAAGAAAATTTTATTTGGGCCATCATCTACTACAGTCGGAATTATGACAATTCCTATTGTTTTAAACAAATCTAAATTTAATTTTTTTACCTTTTTATAATTTTTTATAAATAATTAGAGAATTCTTAGTTAAATAATATACATTATAATTTGGATAAATTTAAGGAAATTTCTCATATTCAGTTGGCCTTCTTATTCTTAATTATCTATGCCACTATTTTTTTTATATATTTGTAAAAAATTAAAAAAAATACTAATATAATTCCATCTAATTAAAGCAGTGTAGTAGTTTCTTCAATTGTTCGTATTTCTATAAATGCAAATTTGCCTTTTGAATCAATCTCACATTTAATAATCTTTTTTTTTTTTTTATTTTATTTTTAATTATTATTATTTTATTTTTTACTGGATTTTCATTTGGAAGACTATCTACAAGACCTCCTGCTGCTTCTAATGATCTATATAGCCATTCACTTAAATATTCTTGATTTATAGAATCTGGAATGTTTCCAATATACAAGCGTCTTGTATATTATATAAATTAATGATAATTGCATTATTTTAATTTTGATATTTAGATTTTAATTTTTTTTTTTTTAAATAAAAATAAAATAAAACTAATTTGATAGAAATTTTTTTTTTTTTTTTTTTTTTTTTTGATAAGAAAAAAATTAAGTAAAAATAAATTTGTTTAAAAGTTTTAATTCAGAAAAAAAAAAAAAAAAAAAAAAAAATCTAAAAAAAAAAAAAAAAGAGCTTAAAATGAAAAAAATGAAAATGAAAAAAAAATAAATTAATATTTCTAATATAAATAAAATAATTAAAAATAAATAATATACCTTGCATGACGAAAAGTATTAAAATTATCAGCTTGTGCTTAGTTAATCTAAGGAACTTCTTATTTATTTATCATATCTTAAATTTACATTAAATTTTAATTAAAAACAACTTGATTATATTCCATTTAACCTAATTCATCAAAAAGTTTTAAGTTTATAGGTTCATTACTTATAAATTTTTAAATGTTTCCTTAATTATTTGTTACTTATTAAGCAATTATTGTTGTAGGTGTTTAATTCTATTGTATTTGGTTAATATTTTTATTTTAATTTTGCTTATGTTTATCTTATTTTGGTGATCTTGATCTTGATCTTGAACGATCATTTTCATTTGAGTTGTCTCTTGCTGATTAACTTTATGAACTATTTTATGTATTTTTACTAGAGGTATACTTGTTTGACATATTTATTTATTTTTTTGCTTTTTTTTATTTATTTATTTAATTTTTTTTTTTTTTTTTCTCTTAATAATTTTTTTTTTTTTTTTTTTTTTTTTAATAATAAGATTTTATATATATATTTAAATATTTATAAAAATAAGAAATATATAATAAATAAATATATTATGATGTATATTTTCTATTAATCAAGGAATAATCAAAATTTTAATTATTTTGTTAAAAAATTAAAGTTTTCTACTAACAGAGTTTAAGAAAAAAAAAAAAAATTCAAATTTAATATTTTATTAGAATTTTTTTATTTATTCACTATTTTTTTTATTTTAATCACTAATATTTTATAATAAAAGTAAAATTAATTTATAATATAAATATGATATTAATTTGTATTTATTTTTAATAAAAAATTATTTGTTTTTAATCTAGTTTAAAACCTTTTATATTTATTTCCTAAGTATTTATAATTTATTAAAATAATTAGTTTATATTAAATAAATCATTATTTATTAATTTTTCTAAAAAAACTATTAAAGTTTATTCCTATTAAAATACTATGAATAGACTCATTCTTGACTAAGGTTTTAACTTTATTTTTACATATATTTATACTTTATATCATTTAACCATTCTTATATATCATTATCTTAACTAAGATTGTCATTTATAAATGGATGTACCTTATTTTTAAAAATTATTTAATAATTAGAATAAATATAAAAGTTGAAAAATTATATTATTATTACTAATAATTCTATTGCCGAAGATCTTTTGTTTGGATCTATAACTAAACTATTTAAATTATTAATTATTTATATAAATTTTTTAAAATAAAAAGTAATACCATTATTAAATAAAATTTCTTAAACTGTTTGAAAAGTTAGGTTATTTTGGCAAAACGAAATACTATTCTTCCATATTTTGAAATAATTAATGTAGTTAGATAATAGTTTTATCAGCTTAAAAAGGATATTTTCCTGTTATCATCTCATAAATAACTATACCTTTAATTAATTAATTATTATATTTTTTTGTTAAAAAAAAAATACCAAAACTCCATATATCAGAAGGAAAGCTATATTCATCTCCATTAATCCTTTCGGGCGACATATATGCAGTTGTTCCTCTTTACGAAATTAATTTTTAATCAGTTTAATCGAGTTCTTTAGCAACTCCAAAATCAGTTAGTTTGACTTCTCCTTTTGAATTCATAAGTATATTTTCAGGTTTTATATCTCTATGTACTTATTTAAAAATTATATGTAAATGCATTAATCCAATTAAAATCTTTATTTTTTTTAAAAAAAGCAAAAATATTATAAAAAATACAATATATAAATATATTAGACAATATACTTATTAACATATTCTTGATAGTATGTTTTCTGGAATTAATATTTAATTTTATTAAACTTAAGCTATTTTTAATATATTTATGACTGCTTTAAATGAGCCTACATCCATTAACTCTAATACTATTTTTACCTAACCTTCATCATAAAATGCACCGTACATTTTTACAAAAAAATAACAACCTTGAGTGTTTTTTTCTGCATTATTTAATAAAATCTTAATATCGCTTTCTAATTATCTTCGCTTTTCTCTATCATATATTTTTATTTTCTATTTATTATATTTATATTTATATATATGTATATATTTAATACTTTTATTGCAACTTTAATATTTAAAGGCTTATAAATTCCTTCTTCAACTTAGCAGGCAACTCCTTCTCCTATACATTTACCTGTTGATACTACATCATTTTTGTCAAATTAAAATTCTAAATTTCCTTTTCGAATACCGTCATTGCTTATTTTTATACCATTATTTATAAAATCAAGCCATTAAGATCCTATTTCAGAATTTTTACTTTTTTCTAATTCATCTTCTACTTGTATTTGCGGGGGTTTTTTTTTTCCTTTTTTCATTATATTAATTATTTTTTATTTATAACAAAATAATAATTTTTAAAAAAAGTATATTTAAGAATTCTTTTTATTAAAATTTAAATAAAAATTAAATTATTTTAATTTTTTTTATTAGTATTTAATTAATCATATTGTTTTTTATTTTTGCTGTAATTTTATTTTAAAACTCAATAAAAAAATACAATTATCTATTTATTTTCGCTTTCTCGCTTTATTTTTTCAATTTAGCCTTTTTAAAATAAATAATAATTAAATAAAAAAACAAAAATTAAATATGAAAAAATAATATATAAAATTAATTTATTTTTTTATATAATTAGTTATATTGATATAATTTATAAAGTCTTATTTTTTAATACAATATACTCAATATACAATTAAGTAAATAATTATATATATTTTAAAATTTAGAATGTAAAACATATATTAAATATTTTTATAAATAAAAATACTTTTAATATAGTATAATAAATATAAAGAATTATTTAATTAAAATATAATTAACTTTTAATAAATTTATAGATTTTAATTATAATTTTTTTATTATTTTTTTTAAACATAATCAAAACAGAAGAAAGATATAATATATTAAAATAAAAAAAACAAAAAAAATATGCAATTTTTTATAAAATTAAATAAATTATCTGAAAAATAAAAAATAACTTGATTAATTTTAAATATATTTATAATTTAATATCGTAATAAAAAAACGAAAACAATCCAAATAAAATAAATTATATAAAACGTTCAATAATTAAAAATAATATCAAAATAAAAATTAAAATGTCAGAATCAGAAAGAAGATCATAAGCATTATATTCATTTAACCCAAATTAAATTGCTTAACCAAAAAAAGATATAGATTAAATAATAAACAGATATTCAGTATAAAATGCTACCCCAAAAGGTGTAGCATTACCCGAGAATTACTAACAAAACTTATTAGATAATATTGACAATTCAATGAATATATCCAAAAGTTACAATTAAGGAAACGATTTTGGAAACTTATTATAAAATAATTTGTTTGACCCAAGTTTAGCTGTAATTAATAATACTGATTTAATTCAATCAATTGGACATAGATTGACTTTTGCTGCAGGAGGGCAGATGGAAAATTAAAGTATATAGAAAAAAAATAATAATATCCTTAACTAATTAAATAATAAAAATGATGATGTTTTCGAAAGTGATGATGAAGATGGACTTAAGTAAGATGAATATGAATAAAGAACTAACTAATTACATACAGAAGTTAGTGTTTTATAAGATTAGGTTTACAAGCTTTTAAATAATTATTAAACAGAAATGAAAAGTAGTAATGTTAAAAACAAAGGAGCATTTAAAGAAAAAATAAAACTTGATGCTGGAGTTTTAGCTTAAGAATATAAAGATTTAGTTAATAGATTCTAAGATGTATCACAAAATGATATTTCGATTCTTTCTAAAAGCCACAATGTAAGCGCAATAGTCGGAGGTACTTCTTTTTTGAGAGGAAACACAGGAAAAGAAAAAGAAGTAAATGTGATGATGAATTTAGTTGAGTAGTTTTTGACAAAATTCGATGACGAATTTAAAAATAATTCCGTTTTGAATAAAAGTGGTGGAAATTCTTCGAATTTAAGTTTAAACAATATTGTATAAAATCATATTGTTAATAATGAAAATTAAAACTCTTTTGCTTAAAATAATGAATAGTAGTAGAATCAACAAAATTAAAATAAATAAGAGTAAGATTTTTAAATAAGTTCTTAATGTCAATATTATTGTAGTACTTGTGATTAATTTTTCAAAGGAGAATTTTTCTTTGGACATGTATAAGAGTGCTAGAATGAAAAAAATAATAATATATCTTATGTTAATCAGGATGATACTTTTATGAATTTAGATTAGTCTGTGCTTCTTGTTAACTGCTTGGATTCTAAAATTGCAAAAATAATTTAAAATTTAAATCAAAGTCTTAATTAATAAAGTTATTCTTAAACCAAAAATATACTTTGTGAAACTATTTATGATTTAGGATAAGTTCTTAAAACTTAGGATTAGTTAACTATTAAAAATGTAATTTAAAAAATGTAAAAAGTATCTAAAAAAGTTAATGATTGTTAAAAATTATATCTTTATTTAACTAATGTCATTACACTTCTTTTAGATAAATAAAACGCTATTGAAATGCAACATTCTATTTTAGATACTAGCAATATATAGTTTGAAGATAATAATTAAGATTTAGATAATGATTTGGAGAAAAAAGCTACATTTTATGATATTTCAAGCCAGTTCAAAAATAGATATTATGATTCTATTTAATCTGATGATTCTCTTTTGATTTCTTAATTATGGGAAGAAGCCAAAAATTTAAAATAAAGTAAATGGCTTAAATTTCTTTATTAAAAATTTAATATCTAAAATTAAAAATGATTATTATATTATTAAAATAAAAATATTATTTATTTTTATTTAAATTTTTAAATATAAAATATTTAATTTTAATTTTTGAATAAATGTAAAAAAAAAAATTAATTAAAAAAAAAAAATACAATAATATATATATTTATAATTTTATATAAATATATAGATAAATTTTTTTATATATATTTTTTTCTCATTATTTTTATTATTAATTTTATTCACCATTATTATAATTGTGATTTTTAACAAATTTTTTTTATTTTTAATAATTTCCTTTGTTAGGTCCATTAACATTGTTATAAAATTTCTTAAATCCATTATTATTATTATTATGATAGTTATTATTTTATTAAGGGAATACATTAGTAGGAGGGTATATATTTTACAAGCATTCCTTTTAGAATTATTAGAAATATTCAGTATTAATTAAATTAAACTAAGGTTACATTATAAATTAATTAATAACTTGATCTTATCCTCGTTAATTATAAAAATTATTATTGTTAAAACTATTATATTATCTCATTTAGCGCAACATTTTTTCTCTTTCATCCATAAAGGTGAATTCTTAAAATATGCTTTGTTTTTAATCACTTTCTTAAAATATTTATAACATTCTTTTTCCAGTTTATTAGAAATCCACTTCTGTACAATCTTTACTTCTAGAAACTGGTAATTCACACCTTTTTTTTTTTAAAAAAAAAAATAAAAATATAAAATTTAATTTTTTAAATATTTTTTTATACATATTCTTTAAGTCTTCAAAATTTTTTTGTTTCACATCTTTCACGAATACCCATTCAAGTTTAAAATGTCCTTTGAACTATTTTATATTTAAGTATAATTAATTTTCATTTTTTTATTTTTAAAAAAAAAATACTTTTAATGGCTGCCACCAATAAGAAAATGTTTCATCTATAAAACCTGATTTTAGTTTTGCAACACCAACGAACTATCCACTTTTTACTACTGAAAAGAATAAGAAAACATCTTAACTATTATTTTAAGATGTTTTATAAATTTCGTTTAATTTAACATTGTTTTGGGGTACAGATGTCCATATTCCATATTTAATTGCCTTTTTGTAAATTTTATTAAAAAAAAAAATAGTTTTTACTTTGTGGATGTCATCATCGTTATTAGAACGCATAACTAAGCATATTGCATTATTTATTGTATTTATATCTAAAGGTTATTGAAGGGAAGATAAGTGAGGGAATATTTCAACTATTTCATTTAAGGAATCATAGTTTTTACAATATCTATATTAGTGTTTAAAGTATTTAACTTTTTTGCTGTAATTAGATTCTTAATTGTTTACAATCTATTCTTCAGGTTTTTCTTTATTTTATTATTCGACTTAGGCTTAGTCTTAAAGATTTTATTGAGTTTCGACTTATTATTGTTACTATTCAGAAGTGTTTTGATTCATTATTTTTTTTTTATTATTTTTTTATTTTTTAGATTTTAATATTTTTTTATTTTTTTTTTTATTTTTTATTTTAATAATTAATTTATTCTTATTTCATATTTTTTGATATTAATTTATTATGTTTTTTTTTTTTAAATATATTTTTTTAAATAATATTAATTTTGATTTTTAATTATTATAAATGCTTTTTATTATTCTCTTATGATATTTATTATTTTTGTATTTATTTAATTTTTATTACATTTGTCCTTTTTTTATATGTTTTATTTATTTAAAAAAAAAGATTTATACAGAAATAAATTAAATTAATTTTATAAAAATCAACAAATTTACAATGATAATATTTTCAGAAAATGTATCTTTAAATAAATATCCTAGAATTATAATATTCATTTCCTTATTTTATTTATTATTTAAAGAATTTATATTTTATTTATTTCTTCTTAGAGTTTAATTTTTATTTTTTTTGACTTGCTAATAATATCAATTTTAAAAAATTTTTTAATTTATATATTTAATTATAAAATGATTTATTAAGTTATAAACAAAAACTTTTAAGTTTTTTTTCTTTTTTTCTTTTATCAAAAGTTTTAAATATATACATATTTTAATTAATAAATTAGTATAAAAAATTAATTTTAATTTTAAACGATAAACAAAATAATATGAAAACATTAAAATATATACATATAAAAAGAGTATAAAAAAATATAAAAACTAAAAAAATAAAATTTCAAAGAAAAAAAAAATATATTAATAATAATAAATAAATAAAAAATACAAAGGAAAAAAAACTAAAAAAAGAAAAAAATTATAAAAAAAATATGACATCCAGACCATAAGTACACGTCTACGACGCTAACGAAACCAAAAAATAAGTAGGATCAGTAGCCCTTCCAGTTGTTTTTACCGCACCAATTAGAGTTGATATAGTGCAAAGAGTACACACTGATTTGAACAAGAATCGTCGTTAAGTTCACGGAGTAAAGATCTCTAAAAAAGGAACTGCTGGTATGGGACATTCTGCTGAATCATGGGGAACAGGTCGTGCAGTAGCTCGTATTCCCAGAGTAGGAGGATCAGGAACAAACAGATCAGGATAGGGTGCATTCGGTAACTAATGTAGAAAAGGTAGAATGTTTGCTCCTTTGAAGACTTTCAGAAGAATCCACAGAAGAGTTAATGTAAACTAAAAAAGACACGCTGTTGCTTCTGCTTTAGCTGCTTCAGCTTTAGTCCCTTTAGTATTGGCAAGAGGTCACAGAGTATCTAACATTTAAGAATTACCTTATGTATTTGATGATGCTTTGGAAAATTTCGAAAAAACCAAACAAGCTGTCGCTTTCTTAAAAGAGTTGGAGCTTACGATGATGTTCTTAAAGTTATTGAAACCAAAGCCATAAGAGCTGGTTAAGGTAAACTTAGAAACAGAAGACATAAACTTAGAAGAGGTCCTTTAGTTATTTATGGAAAACGAAAATGCTACACCTACTAGAGCTTTGAGAAACATTCCTGGTATTTTATTTATTTATTTTTTATTTATTAATTTTTTTAAAAGGTGTTGATGTATGCAATGTAAACAGACTTAACTTACTCTAATTAGCCCCTGGTGGGCACGTTGGTAGATTCGTTATTTGGACTAAATCTGCTTTTGTTAAACTTAATTAGCTTTTCGGTACTTACTCTTACACTTCTTAAGTTAAATAAGGTTATTAATTATAAAGACCTGTCCTTGCTAATGCTGATATTGCAAGAATTATTAACTCTAATGAAATTTAAACTGTTGTTAGATAAGCTAAAGAAACTGAACATCATTAAAGAAAGAAAAATCCTCTTAAAAATAAAAACTCTCTTTTCAGATTAAACCCTGCTGCTAAAATCAGCAAGGAAAAGCCAGAAAAGCTAACGAAGCCAACAGAGCCAAAAGAACATAAACTCTTAAATAAAAAAGAAAATAAGCCAGAGCCTTAAAAAAAGGATCTTAAGCTTGGATTAGAGTCTTCAACGATGCTAACTAATAAGCCATTAACAGAGCTAAATAAGACGAAGCAAACTTTGCAGCTTAAGGAAAAGAATTCAAAGAAGAAGAAAACTAATGAGTGCATTTATATGGCTTTTTTAATATATATAATTGTAATTTTATTTTAGAAGTATTTTTGTCAATTTTTTAAAGTAAAATAAAAAAATACTGGAATTATGTTTTTTATATTTACATGTTTATGATAATATTAAATATTTAAATTTGCTATATCAATATTTTTTTGTTTAATAAAATTATAATTTATTAATCAAATATTTTATAATTTTTTATGATAAATTTATTTTTAATTAAATAAAAAAAATTTTTTAATATATATATAAACAAATAAATAAAATGCAAAAGAAGAATAATATTAAATATTTAAAAAAATAAAAGATTGTTTATAAATTTTTTATTTAAAAACCAAAATATATTAAATATAAATAATGATTTATTATAATAATATTTAATTTTTTTATTTAAAATAAAATAAAATACTATAAAATAAATAAATATTTATTAGATATATAATATTATTTAAATATATATTATATTAAATTAAAAATATAAAAAATATTTACATATATATATATATATTAATAAATATATATATTTATTTATATAAATTTATTTTTATTTATTTATAAATAAATATTTTATATTTATTAATATCATATATTTTTTATGTCTTTTTTTTATTTATTTTATTATTATTTATATTGTTTAATTTAAGAAAACATTATATATAACTTGTATTTAATAAAATTGGATATTATTATATTAAAATATTTTTATTTATAAATTTTCTTTTTATTCTAAATTTTTAATAATTATTTATATATAAATATTGAAGTTATTTATATAATATTTAAAATATTTGTATAAATCATTTTATTTTAATTTATTTTTTAAATATTACAAGTTGAATATTTTTTTTATACTTATACATTCTAAATATAATATTTAATATTTAATTAATTATTAATATTTTAATTTATTTAAACTTTTTTTAACTTTTATAATTATTAATTTTTGTTATTTTTATAAAATAAATTTAGAATTATTTATTATGATATTTTAATATTTTTGTTTTGTTTTGTTTTGTTTTATTTTGTTTTTTGTTTTTTGTTTTTTGTTTTGTTTTGTTTTGTTTTGTTTTGTTTTTTTTTTTTTTATTTTTTTGGTTTGTTTTTTTGGTTTGTTTTTTTAGTTTTGTTTTGTTATATATTTATTAAGGTTTCTTTTTTTTATAATTAATTTAAAATATATAAATAAATTCTTTAATATTTTTTATTTTACTTTAATTAAATTTTAAATATAATTATTTTAGAAAATCTTAAAAAACAATATGATTAATTTTTTATTATTACAATTTTACTAAAACTAAATTAAATAAAATGTCTTTATAAAACATTCTTTCAAGCGAAATAAAGGTTGGTGAGCTCCTTTTTTATCAATAAAATTCATAAATATTTATTGAAGCTTTTTAATATATTTTTAACTTCAATTCCACAAAAATTTATTAGTCAATTTAATTTTTAAGAGAATGATTTTAGTTTAATTTAAGATTTTAATTAATATTTTAACAACTTATATTTTTATTTAAGAAATAAATTAAAATGGATTTTCAATTATTTCATATAATTTTTATTATTTTTATTTATTTTTAATATTTTTTTTTTCTTTTGCTATTACTTAGAACTAATTATTTTAAATATTTATTTTTAACTATTATTTATATATATGAATTGTTTTAAATTTATTTATATTTAGCAGTCAAATTGGATATATTATTTAATATGTATTACTATAATAAAATTTTAATAATTTTATTTTGAAATAAATTATCATGACTTTTATTTTATTAATGGCTTTAAATTTATTAATAATTGGCTAATTCATTTAATCTTAATAATATTATTAATATAAAATAATTAATAGAATTTAAATTAACTTTCTATCAAAAGAATATTATTTATTCAAATCATATTATAATAATTTTTTAAAAGTAACAAATTATTTAAATTATATACTATTTTACTAATAAATAATAATTTTTAATAACATAATGTATATATTTCTTTTTTTCTTTCAATAAATAAAATAAAATTCAATAATTTTTACTAAAACATAAATAAAATAATATTGAAATGTTTATGAATAAATAAAAAAAATAATCGTGATAAAATTATTATAATAATTTAATAAAATAATCAAATTATCAATATGTTTGTTTTTGAATTATTAATGTAAGAGAAATATAATATATTTAATATTTTTTAATTTTAATACAAATAAATAGAAATGAAAAAAGTTATTTTAAATATAAAAATTATTGATTGCATTTTTTTAATTATTTTTATTTTACAACTTTTTTATAATTTTATCAATTTTAATTGTTAATCTTTTTTTTTTTACTTTATGAAATAGCAAATAAAAATTTTTTATATACTTTACAACCGCCTAATTTTTTTATTTTGAATAAAGAATAAAATACATATTAGTAATTTGTTAAAATAATATATAAATATATTAAAATCTTTGTTTCAACCGAAAATTTTTAAAAATTATGGATGAATATGTTTCTTATTAATTAATAATATACACAACTTATCAATTTTAAAGAAAATTCATTAAAAATTCAATAATTTCAATAAATTTATATTTTTCAATTGCTAAAAATTATTCATATATAAGAATAGTATTAACATTTAATTTATTTTTTTTTAATTAAAGAACTGGATTATAATAAAATATATCATCATCATAATAAAACTTAAACCAAGCTAATTAGTTTAAATATTCGTAATTTTATTTAGAATTCATATCAGAAATAACAAATTATCTTTTAATTCGATTTATTTCAATTAATAATTGGAAATATTAATCATATTTATTTTATTTAGAAGAATTTAGAACAGCTAAAATAAATTCCTGATTTTAATTAGGACTATATTTTAATAAAAAACAACAATATAAATATGCTATCCATAATAAATCTCCTTCCAAATTTATATTTATATTTAGTCTTTTAATCATTTTATGAAAATAATCAATATTTAAAGCAAAATCTAGAAATATTTCATATTTTTTTACTGAATTTCTTTATAATATATTCGCATTTCCTATTTCTAAATTTAATGCCTTTTATTTAATTTTTTTTTAATTTTTATTTTTTGTTACTTTCCATAAAACATTACTAGATGATAATTATTCTTGTTTTTCTTAATTAATTAATAATTTTTCAAACAAAAACATAAATTTAGATTATTAATATGTCTATATTATAATTTTTATTCGAAACTATTCATAATCTTTATCAAAAGTTATAAAATTATTATTTATTTTATTATCTATTTTTTTATTGGATGATCTTGAAGCAGATGAAGATGAAGAAGAAGAATTAAATTGTTAAATTAAATTATTTTTTTAACTAATTATACTATCTTAACGTGATTTACTAGAGTTCAACTTTTAAAGTCTTTTTTAAAGTTTTCTTTTCTACTTTTTATCATTTAAAAGTATATTATTTAATATTTTTGAGTTCAATAAGTTAAACTATTATACAAAAGGATTTATATCTTCTTCTTCCGAATCTGTAAGTGTTTCGTAAATAATGTTTTCTTGTGGAAATTCTTTCTCATTAATTAAAGGTGAAATTATATTCGTCTTCTTCATTGAATTTAATAAAAATAAGAATTTTTGAATAAGTAAAGGATATATTTATTTAAAAATTGAAATTTCAAGCTCTTAATTGGTTATTATTTATTAAATATTATCTACTAATTATGGTAAATTAACTAAAAATTCACGAATTAATTTAAATTATTTTCGAAAATGTCTATAAAAATTAATCTTTAAAATCTCAGAATCATATATAGTTTTTTTGATTTTTTCAGTAAGGTCAAGGTTTTAAATTATAAATTCGAAAATGATAAAATCCAGCTTTTTTTTAAGAAATTTTTATTTTAAAGACTCTAAATGAATTTAAGCTTGCTGATTAAAATAATGTATATTATTATGATTATATTAATTTTTATTATTATAAAATAATTTAAAATGAGGATATTTTTTTAATAAATGAGAAAGTGTTTAATTTAATTTATAATGGGTAATATTATCTTCGTATTTATTAATTTTTATAACTTTCAATTTTTTCGGGCTTTATATTTTTTAAGAAAATATTAATGGAAGTTTTTCTTATTTTACGCCAAATTAGGGAGATAATGATTTATTTTATTTTAAATTTTAAATTTTTAAAGGAGATATTTAATGACATTTTAGAGGTGAAAAAGTAGGAAAAAAAGCAGTTGTTTAATAAAGGTTTTATTGTTTTTTTAGAATTTCATTTTTTCTTTTTAAATTATTGTTTGTAGTATGGTAATATTATTATTTCAGATATAAATTATGTTATTTTTCTTTGAGGCAAAAAGTATTACTTAAATTTGCTTTTTGGTATTATTAATTCAGCTTTTTTTACAGATATTCTTTGTTTTTTAATAGAGTAAAGTCTTATTAAATTTAATCATTTAAATTTCTCATTGTTTTATTTTCGTAAAATTTAAAAGATTTGTCTTTTTCAATTTTTTTTTTTTCAAAATTTTCATGTTTTTAGAAATTATGATTTTCTAATTCTTCATCTTATTTTTTAGATTACATTTAAATTAATTAATCTATTGTTATTGATTGTTTTTAACGTTTACTTTTTTTTTAGCTTTGTTCTTCGTCATTTGATGATTATGAGGATTCTTCTATTATTATCAGGTCTTATTATACTTAAAAACGCTATTTTTAACTTAATTATTTTTGTACTTTAGGAATTTCACTTTGTACTTTAGGAATTTCTTTTAATATTATTTTAGATAGTATTTACTATTTTTTTTTATAAGAAAATATGTGTTTTGCTTTTATAAATAAAATATTAAATTACATTGCTTTTATTTAACTTTTATTCTGTACCTGGTTTCTAAATTTCAATTAAAAGTTTATCTTATATTTTTTATTTTATTTAAGTAACTTATTATTCTTAGACTTAAGAATTATTTAAACCATCTTAATTATTTTGAATAAAATTTTTAGGTGAATTCAATTCTATAAAATGAATATAATAAATAAGTTCATATAAATATATATTAAAAATAACATTCTTAATTATTTATATTTTCTGGTGATAATATTGAAAATATTTAGTTTTTTTAAAAAGAAACATTTGGAAATTAAGATAAATTATTATTAA